GGTCAGGGTGCGCAGCTGGAGCCTCGCCTCCGTGTGAGACGGAAGTCTTGCCCTGTGGAAGCTGCTCCTCACCCGAGGCCTGGCCGGGACAGTGCTGATGCTCTGGGGCACCCAGGTCTTCCTGACTCTTGGCTCAGGTGAACTGAATGGAAGGTTCTGGGGCCCTAAATGGCTTAGCCAAGGGGATGGGTGGTCTCTCCTCTTAGAGACGGTTTAACCACCTCCCTCCCCGTCCACCTGTGTACCTGAACTGTCGTTCATTCATTCAACAAACAGAATGTGCTGTGCTGGGCACTAGGAGGTGAACAGGTTAGAATTGGGGCCCAGAGGGGTGGGTGGTGAGGAGGCAGAAAGGTAAACCTATTATGGTGCTAGGGAGAGGCGAGGCCAGTCCCCCAGTCCACCTGGGGCACCCTCAACAGACCCTTGAAAGGAAACAGCCAAACCTTAGGGCCCTGCCTGGGGGGCTTCCTGGCCCCTGGAAGCCTTCATTCCTTCTTCATTCCCTCAGCTCTGCTCCACTTCCTCTCCAGGACCATTTTCCCACCAAGTAGACAGCACTGGGGTAACCGCTTGTCCCCACGGACATCTGAACCCTATGCCTCCCTGCAAGCCCCCAGCTTTAAGCTTTCCTCTCTGTCAACCTGCCCAGCAATTCCTAGGGCCCCCAGAGGCACCTCTCCCTGCCTCGCCAGACCCCAGGGGCCTACACAAGCCCCATGGTCCTGTCACACATATGAGCCAGAGGTGGGATGGGGTTAGGCCGGGACCAGAATTGAAGAATGGAAACCAAGTATTACCTCCCCCTCAGTCTGACATAGTCAGAAACCAGATGGATGGATGGGTGCAGTGGGGCTGGTGGGTGGGTGTGTGGGTGAATGAATGGATAGATGAATGGATGGAGTTGGGTGGGTGAGTGGGTAGATGGATGCATGGAGTGGGGTGGGTGGGTGGGTGGGTGGATGGATGGATGGATGGAGTTGGGTGGGTGGGTGGATGGATGGATGGAGTTGGGTGGGTGGGTGGATGGATGGATGGATGGATGGATGGAGTTGGGTGGGTGGGTGGATGGATGTAGTTGGGTAGATGAGCGGATGGTTGGATAGATGGAGTAGGGTAGGTGAGCGGATGAATGCATGCATGGATGGATGGTGGATGGATGGATGGAGTGAGATAGGTGAGTGGACAGATTAATGGAATGGGGTAGTGAATGGATGGGTGGATGGAGGTGGGTAGGTGAGTGGGTATAGTGGGGTAGGTGAGGGATGGATAAATGGATGGATGGGTAGAGAAGTAGGTGAGTAGATAGATGGATGGAGTGGGGTAAGTGAGTGAATGGATGGACACATGGATGGAGTGAGTCGGGTAGATGAGGGATGGATGGATGGAGTAGGGTGGATGAGTGGATGGATGCATGGATGGATGGAGAAGTAGGTGAGTGGATGGATGAATGGAGTATGGTGGGTGAGTGGACAGATGGACACATGGATGGATGGAGCAGGGTAGATGAGGGACGGATGGATGGATGGATGGATGAATGGATGGATGGATGGATGGATGATTGGGGTGGGTAGATGGTAGGTGGACGGATGGACCAGTGAGTGGGAGAGTGGACAGATGGCCAGATAGATGGATGGGTGGCTGTATAGATGGGGTGATAAGGGAGGAAGAAAGAAAACCTGGATGACAATGGCTGCAAGGCAAAGGGGGTGGTCCAGTGGAGTGGAGGAGCCTGCACCAAAAATTGCCTTCCTGGAGCAAATGTGTGTCTTTTCTTTTTTCCATGAACTGAACCTCCCAGCTTCTCCTGGAGGAGCACATTCTGTGTTTAGTTCAACAGACAAGAAAGGGTCCCTTGGAGCCTGTTTGATTGCAGTCCATCTGCCGTTGATGGACTCGAATGGTCATCGGGAGGAATTGAGGGGACCCATTTGTTAAGCCCTTCCTATATTTACCTTAATTAAAATACAGTGGCTAGTCTTAAGTTGGGGTTTTCAAACTGGGTTTAAGAGAACACTTATTGGCCGGGCGCGGTGGCTCACGCCTGTAATCCCAGCACTTTGGAAGGCCAACGCAGGCGGATCACGAGGTCAAGAGATCGAGACTATCCTGGCCAATATGGTGAAACCCCGTCTCTACTAAAAATACAAAAATTAGCTGGGCATGGTGGTGTGTGCCTGTAATCCCAGCTACTCGGGAGGCTGAGGCAGGAGAATTGCTTGAACCTGGGAGGCAGAGGTTGCAGTGAGCCAAGATTGTGCCACTGCACTCCAGCTTGGCGCCTGGCAACAGAGTGAGACTCTCAAAAAAAAAAAAAAAAAAGAGAACACTTATTTTTTTGTAAAACATTTTAAAAGTTTTTAAAACTCTAATTTAAAAAATCAATTTCGTTGGGGGCCACCGGAATATCCGAGTGTCCCCCAGTTGGCCTGTTTTCTGCCCTCTCTGCTTAAGTGACAGTTCTGAGATTTCAAGGAGAGCAGCTGATAAACTTACCATTAGCAACTCCTTATCAATGTGTCTTTTCTCTATACTGTGTAACAAAGCAAAATACAGAAATCAGCTGGACGTGGGTCTGATGTGATTGGAGCCGCCATCTGTAACCCCAGTTTAAAATGTTTGCCTTCCCAAAGCAGCCATTTTGTTCTCAGCAGCAGCCCTTACAGTAAGAAAATATTGTGGAGCCAGGCGTATCATTTACTCCTTTTCTTGGTTTCACATGTCAAGGTTTCCATGTTGATTTTTTTTTTTTAAAGGGAGAATTTCATTGATAATCTTAAAAAGAGAAAAGAGGGCCGGGCATACACCTGTAATCCCAGGTGTACTCACACCTGTAAGTGGCTCACACCTGTAATCCCAGCACTTTGGGAGGCCAAGGTGGGCGGATCGCCTGAGGTTGGAAGTTTGAGACCAGCCTGACCAAAATGGAGAAACCCTGTCTCTACTAAAAATACAAAATCAGGCCGGGCGCGGTGGCTCACGCCTGTAATCCCAGCACTTTGGGAGGTCGAGGTAGGGGTATCAGGAAGTCAGGATATCGAGACCATCCTGGCCAACATGGTGAAACCCTATCTCTACCAAAAATACAAAAATTAGCTGGGCTTGGTGGCAGGTGCCTGTAATCCCAGCTACTTGGGAGGCTGAGGCAGGAGAGTTGCTTGAACCAGAGAGTCAGAGGTTGCAGCGAGCCGAGATCACACTACTGCACTCCAGCCTGGTGACAGAATGAGACTCCATCTCAAAAGAAAAAACAAAACAATCGGCTGGGCATGATGGTGCATGCCTGTGATCCCAGCTACTCGGGAGGCTGAGGCAGGAGAATCACTTGAACCTGGAAAGTGGAGGTTGCGGTGAGCCGAGATCGCACCATTGCACTCCAGCCTGGGCAACAAGAGTGAAACTTTGTCTCAAAAAAAAAAAAAAAAAGAAACAAAAACAAAAAAAGAGAGAGAGAGAAAAGAAAATAAACAAAAACAGAAACCCACCAGACAAATCCCCATGAAGCCTTTTGGCTCTTCTTGTCTCTGCTTCTGTCCCCTGGGTGGTGTCCAACCCTCTGCCTTTCTCCCTCTGTGCTGGTGAAGATGGCTCTTCCCTAGGGCTCTTGGTCCCCCTGTCATCCCACTCCAGGCCCTTTTACCAACAGAGGCCTCACTGGCCCCACAGACACATCATGGGGAGGTGCCTTGTCCTCCATTAGGTCAAGGTTAAGAAATTGCCAGGATTCTCTTCTGAACCTTTTATGGGCCAGCCATTCATAAATTTGCCCAAACCCTCAGTGGTCCTGCCAAGGTCACCTCCTGGCGTCATGAGTCCATGTTTATTACCTGCCGGGTGAGGCAGTGCTTCCTTCTCAGCAGCAGCCTTGTCGAGGCCCTTCTAGAACTTCCTTAGGGGTGTGACTGCAGCTAGATGGGAGGCTTGGCTTAGCTCCTGTGAGCCTTGAGGCTGGAATAGTCCAGTCTATGCTGCCAGCTGATGTTAATAATCCTGGCTCTAGACCTAACTGGTGAAGCCAGCTGATCCCTAACAGAGAGCATTCTGGAACATTGTGCAGAAAGAGCTCTGCTATCGCCTCCGCATTTGTAGGAAACGAACTGGGCTGGCAGGAGACAGTCTGCGGAAAAGAATATATGAGAAAAACTTGTAAATACATATCAATTGATTGATCATAAGTGGGCTGAGAAATGACTGGTTCACAGCCGAGGCGAGTGGATCACGAGGTCAGGAGTTCAAGACCAGTTTGGCCAAGATGGTGAAACCCTGTCTCTACTAAAAACTATAAAAAAAAATTAGCCAGGCGTGGTGGCAGTTGCCTGTAATCCTAGCTACTCAGGAGGCTGAGGCAGGAGAATCACTTGAACCCGGGAAGCGGAGGTTGCATTGAACCAAAATCGCGACACTGCACTCCAGCCTGGGTGACGGAGCATGTCTCCATCTTAAAAAAAAAAAAAAGGAGAAAGAAAAAAAAAAGAAACTACTGGTTCACTTTAGAATAGATTGTCCCTTTAAAAAGTTATACTGTTGGCCAGGGGCAGTGGCTCACACCTGTAATCTTACCACTTGAGAGGCCGAGGTGGGAGGATTGCTTGAACCCAGGAGTTCAAGACCAGCCTGGGCAACATAAGAATACCCCTACTCTACAAAAAAATTTTTTTTTAATTAACCAGGTCTGGTAGCACACACCTGTGGTCGCAGCCACTTGGGAGGCTAAGGTGGGAGGATCTCTTGAGCCCAGGAGTTTGAGGCTACAGTGAGGTATGATTGTACCACTGCGCTCTAGCCGGGGCAACAGAACAAGATCCTGCTTAAAAAAAAAAAAAAAAAAAAAAAAAGTTATATTATTAATCTATGTTGTATTCTTTATCTTTGGGTGGAATCAGGGAGGTCAGTAATTTCAAGACAAATCACTCGAGATGCTGAATTTCTGATGGCAATCATTGCATCGCTGTGGCTTGCTTCATGACCATTTGCTCTGTGCTGTTTTTCTCTTCTTCCAGATTGTTCTCTGGGGCCGGACTGAGAAATGCCTGAAGGAGACGACGGAGGAGATTCGGCAGATGGGCACTGAGTGCCACTACTTCATCTGCGACGTGGGCAACCGGGAGGAGGTGTACCAGACCGCCAAGGCTGTCCGGGAGAAGGTCCGTAGCCCAGGAGGGTCTGTTCCTCGCACAGTTGACCACAGGCAGATTCTGGCCAGAGAGAACATTCTCATGTGGCCTGGAAGGGAACTCTGCTTATGGCAGAGTGGCTTTGTCTGGGGCACCTTTGGGGACTCTCCCATGAAGCTGGCCCCAGTGATGTAGGCAGGGATTAGGGTTGATTACGTAACAGGAGCCATCCGCTGTTGCTTCCCTGGAAATGTAGACCACGTGGGTTTCACTCCAGGACCGTGGCGGTGCACATGTCCCATTGGCCTCTGAGAAAATCCTTCTCCTGACTCCAGTCATCTGTTTGGACTAAATATATCAGTGAACTCCAAGAGAGGGAAACCCACCCTGAGTGTCTGGCACGTGGTAATGTTCACTGTTTTTATGTCGCGGTAACCTCCTTTATTACAAATATGCTGTGTGCCAGGTACAGTGTGTGCCATAAATTATTCTGCTCCTCAGAACAGTCCTGGTGGGGCATTAGCCTCACCCACAAACCAGGACTGGTGCTCAGAGAGGCAGTTCTCTTCCCCAGGCCCTGTGGCTGCTGGGGCTATGTGTGCAATTTGACTGGAACTGGGCTGGCAGAAAGTAGCCTGCAGGAAGGAATAAAGAAAAGCTTGTAAATAACACATCAGTTGATTGATCATAAATTAACTCAGAAATTACTCGTTCACTTAGGAGTAGCTTGTATCCCTTTTAAAAAGTATATTCGGCCAGGTGCGGTGACTCGCACCTGTAATCCCAGCATTTTGGGAGACTGAGGTGGGTGGATCACTTGAGGTCAGAAGACCAAGACCAGCCTGGCTAACATGGTGAAACCCTATCTCTACTAAAAATATAAAAATTAGTCGGGCATGGTGGCAGGAGCCTGTAATCCTGGCTACTCGGGAGGCAGAGACACAAGAATCACTTGAACCCAGGAGGCGGAGGCGGCGGTGAGCCGAGATTGCACCGCTGCACTCCAGCCTGGATGACAGAGTGAGCCTCCATCTCAAAAACAAACAACAGAAAACACGTATTGTTGGTCTGGGGCTGGCTCTGCTCATGGCCCCATGGCCCCCTCTCACCTGCAGGTGGGTGACATCACCATCCTGGTGAACAATGCTGCCGTGGTCCATGGGAAGAGCCTGATGGACAGTGACGACGATGCCCTCCTCAAGTCCCAGCACATCAACACCCTGGGCCAGTTCTGGGTAAGGATATCCTGGGCCAGAGCCAGCCCCGGGCATACAGGGACCCCGGGCAGGGTGGAGGGGAGAGGACCCTTGCCAGGGCTTGGGCTCAGACCAGCAGGGATGTCCACAAACAAGGTGGCTGGACAGAAGGAATGACCAGCCCCAGGACACATCAGGCTTTGTGACATGTGCTCAGTGTCCTGGGGCAAGGAGCCCTTAGCCCTCTCCCTCGCAGGAAGGCTCGGGCACTAGAGCATCATGAGTGTCCAGGGCGGGCAGGCTGTTCTCCCCGAGAGAAGGGTGGAGGGGTTGTCAGAGCCGTGGCTGCTCCACACTGACACCCCATCCGCCCTCAGACCACCAAGGCGTTCCTGCCGCGAATGCTGGAGCTGCAGAACGGCCACATCGTGTGCCTCAACTCCGTGCTGGCTCTGTCTGCCATCCCCGGCGCCATCGACTACTGCACATCCAAAGCGTCAGCCTTCGCCTTCATGGAGAGCCTGACCCTGGGGCTGCTGGACTGTCCGGGCGTCAGTGCCACCACGGTGCTGCCCTTCCACACCAGCACCGAGATGTTTCAGGGCATGAGGGTCAGGTCAGTGAGTGGGGGACCCACCTCGGGACATTCAGTCAGCCAACTGCAGAAAGAGCTCTGATATAAAAATCAGGCTGGGTGCAGTGGCTCAAGCTTGTAATCCTAGCACTTTGGGAGGCCAAGGCAGTTTGAGACCAGCCTGGGCAACATGGAGAAACCCTGTCTACAAAAAATAAAAAATTAGCTGGGCATGGTGGTGCACACCTGTAGTTCCAGCTACTCAAGAGGCTGAGGTGGGAGGATCCGTTGCTTAGGCCCAGGGAGTTGAGTCTGCAAGGGAGCTGTGATTGTGTGACTGCATTCCAGCCTGGGTGACAGAGTGAGACTCTGTCTCAAAAAAAAAAAAAAAAAAAAAAGTTGGCCGGGTGAGGTGGCTCATGCTTGTAATCCCAGCACTTTAGGAGGCCAAGGTAGGTGGATCAAAAAATCGGGAGTTCAAGACCACCCTGGTAAAACCCTGTCTCTACTAAAAATACAAAAAAATTAGCCAGGCATGGTGGTGGGTGCCTGTAATCTTAGCTACTTGGGAGGCTGAGGCAGAGAATTGCTTGAACCTGGGAGGAGGAGGTTGTCGTGAGCTGAGATCGCACTACTGTACTCTAACCTGGGCAACAGAGCGAGACTCTGTCTCAAAAAAAAAAAAAAAGTCACTGAGGAGCCTCTACCCTCTGCTTGACGCTGTCCTACCTGGTTCTCTGTCTGCAAAGCAGTGATGCCACAGTGGGGCTGCTAAGGGAGCTTGCAGGAAACTACCAGAGCTACCGGCATGCAAGGGAGTGTGCTCAAAGGTCAAAAGAAGCAGATAAACCTCCACAGCATCGTGTGGGGCAAAGGGAGCTGGAGACATAGGGGAGTGTCTGGTTCTGCCTGGTTCTGCCTGGTTCCACCTATAAGGAGTTCCAAAACGGGCAAAACGGGGCTAGGGTGATGGAAATCAGATCTGTGGCTGCCTGTGGAGGGCTGGGAGTATGACCTGGAAGGGAGGCCAAGGGAACCATAAGGCTTTCAGAAATGTCCTCCCTTCTTGATGGTGGCAGTCATTAAATAGGTGAAAGATAGTCAAACTGTCTGCTTAAGATTTATACCTTTTGTTGTATGCAAATTATAGCTCAATTTATTTATTTTATTTTATTTTTTGAGATGGAGTCTCTGTTACCCAAGCTGGAGTGCAGTGGCACGATCTCGGCTCACTACAACCTCCACCTTCTAGATTCAAGTGATTCTCCTGCCTCAGTCTCCCGAGTAGCTGGGACTACAGGCGTACACTCACACTCAGCTAATTTTTGTATTTTTAATAGAGACGGGGATTTACTATGTTGGCCAGGCTGGTCTCAAACTTCCAACCTCAGTTGATCCACCTGCCTTGGCTTCCCAAAATGCTAAGATTACAGACATTAGCCATGGTGCCTGGCCATAGCTCAATTTAAAATAAGCACTAGGGAGGTCCAGCCACTCTTCCTCCAGACCAATTAAGTCAAGGAGAATAGGGACCACTGGTCTAGAGCTCATGCCACCTGGGGTGGTGACCCTCTCATAGTTGTGATGTACTCTATGACATTAGGTCCATCCGTTACTGCTCTGGCTGATCTGTAAGAAGTTAATGTCTCCATCATAGGTTCTGCGGTGAGGACAATGTGGAATCTGGCAGGGAACACTATATGTGGTACACATTAAGTGCCCAATAAATGGTGCTATAATGAGGTGCAGTCACGTAGGGGCATGAGGTCATCAATGAATGAAAAACGGGAATTACTCAAATACTATTCTCCCTGGTTTTTTGCAGTCCAGTGTACAATGCTTCACCTTCTGAATTATATACTCAAGCTGCTTCCACAAATGAGGATGATGTGGAAGGGTCATCATGAGAATTCAATGAGGCTATTTTGCGTAGGGCATGCCACGTGGGAGTCACTCATTACGCCTTAGTTACTACTAATAGGGGCAGTGCAATGTTGGTTGTCAAGAATCAGAAATACCGGGCTTGGTGGCTCATGACTGTAATCCCAGCACTTAGGGAGGCTGAGGCAGGAGGACTACTTGAGCCCAGGAAATTAGAAATAATACTGTAACACATCTGCAACACCCAGATACTAGATGCGCCATAAGGAGCCGCTGGCCGGGCATGGTGGCTCACACCTGCAATCCCAGCACTTTGGGAGGTCGAGGTAGGTGGATCACCTGAGGTCAGATATTCGAGACCAGCCTGGCCAACATGGTGAAACCCCATCTCTACTAAAGATACAAAAAATTAGCCAGGCGTGGTGGCGCACATACCTATAATCCCAGCTACTCGGGAGGCTGAGGCAGAAGAATCGCTTGAACCTGGGAGGCGAAGGTTGCAGTGAGCCGAGATCACCCCTCTATACTCCAGCCTGGGTGAAAGGGTGAGATTCTGTCTCAAAAAAAAAAAAAAAAAGGAGCTGCTGCTCATTATTTTTTACTAACAATAAACATTTTCATAAATGCATGTCATTAATTTTCCTAGCAGACCACCTGGCTGGCGTGCAAATTGTCATAAATTCTGAATTTCAAGGAGGCTAGACTAATAGCTATTAATGTTTCCTGTGGGCATTTTGCCCCATGGGTCTTGGTTTGGTGTCTTTTCATCTGAGTATACAGAAGGTTCTCAATCAATGTGTACTGGACAGAAGTGCATCAGTGGCAATCTGCAGTTTTAACCGGGTGTCCTGAGCAGAGGAAAGAGCAGGGCATTGCGGACATCGAGTTTGTGTGTCTATTTCACCCTCTAGCGTAGTTTCCTCCCTGCAACTTTAAGAAGGAAACTCAAGGTTTTCCCACGACAGTTTTTCAGAATGTGAACCCAAACTGCTTGGGGTCAAATCCCAGCTCTGCGTAACCTTGGGCAAGTTACTTGACTTTTCTCTGCTTCAGTTTCCTTACCTCTAAAAGGGGATTCATGATAATAGTATCCCTGGCCGGGCATGGTGGCTCACACCTGTAATCCCAGCACTTTGGGAGGCCAAGGTGGGTAGATCACCTGAGGTCGAGAATTGAAGACCAGCCTGGCCAACATGGTGAAACCCTATCTCTACTAAAAATACAAAAATTAGCCAGGCATGATGGCACGTACCTGTAATCCCAGCTACTCGGGAGGCTGAGGCAGGAGAATCGCTTGAACCCAGGAAGTGGAGGTTGCAGTGAGCCGAGATTGTGCCATTGTACTCCAGCCTGGGTGACAGAGCAAGACATATCTTCAAACAATAATAACAATAATAATAATAACAACAGTGTCCCCTTTTCATGGGTTAGGTGAGCGCCTGTGTGTGAATCATCTGGCCGTGCCTGGCCAGTGGCAAGCACTTGGTGAATATTTATTAGCTGCCTGTGATATTAGCTACCTGTGGTTGTGCCAGGGAGCCCCGAGGGCTTGACCAGAAGAGTAGTAGAAGGAAGATGGTACCAACTCCCATTTCCTAAAAGAACAAAACGTGAATAAAAGCACTGGTTTCCTCCCACAGCCACGCTTGGCAGCTTCCCAGGGTTAAATGGGTTAAATGTGAAGACATGCTCAGGACAAAATGGATGAGTTTCTTAGCAAGACTGTCTGCATCAGTGGATGTTGTTGTTTATAAATTGCTATTTATTTAGCCTCTTTTTTTTTTTCTTTTTTTGAAATGAAGTCTTGATCTGTCACCCAGGCTGGAGTATAGTGGCGTGATCTCGGCTCATTGCAACCTTCGCCTCCCAGGTTCAAGCAGTTCTCCTGCCTGCGATCCAAGTAGCTGGGATTACACCATGCCCGGTTAATTTTTGTATTTTTAGTAGAGACGGTGTTTTGCCGTGTTGCCCAGGCTGGTCTCGAACTCCTGGCCTCAAGTGATCCACACACCTCAGCCTCACAAAGCGCTGTGTTTACAGACGTGAGCCACCGTGACTGGCCAATTGAGCGTCTTCTATGTTCCAGCCATAGACCTGTCTGGAGCCACTAGACACTTTACAGTGGCTGCTGTATTTGGCCCACACAGCAACCCTGCAAGAAAGCTTTTATTCCCATTTTACAGATGAGGGAACTGAGGCTCAGAGAAGCAAAGTTACCTGTCCAAGTCCGCACAGCTCGAAACTGGCTAACTGAGCATGCTTCTTCCAGGACTTTGCACTGCTTCCATGGTAGTTAATAGCTCTGCCAGTTCCGTGTGGACAGGAAGGAGAAAATCCTATGCGCACACGTGCTGGAGGCCTCCTCTGTCGGCTTCCCTGGCGGGGGTCTTACCAAGAAGGATCTCCCTCAAGCCCATGGACTTTGGTCTGTCCATCCTGCCTTCCCTTTCCCAAGAGACCGGACAGGCCACAGGTGGAAGCCAGACAATCCAGACTGCCCATGAGACCTGTGGGACTCCAGTATCGGTGAGCTGTCTCAGCACGCTTCTCTCTGCAGAACCACAGAGGCCAGCTCCTCTTGACTGCAGGGCTCTGGGCCTCTCAGAATCACCACTGGGGCCAGCCACAGTAGCCAGGTTCACACCAGTAATTCCAGTGCTTTGAGAGGCTGAGGCAGGTGAATCACTTCAGCCCAGGAGTTGCCAGCTTGGACAACATGACAAAACCCGGCCCTATAAAACAGATACAAATTAGCTAGGCATGGTGTGTGCACCTGTAGTCCCAGCTACTCGGATGGCTGAGGTGGGGGGATCACTTGAGCCCAGGGAGGTCGAGGCTGCAGTGAACCGTGATCATGTCACTGCACGCCAGCCTGGGCAACAAAGTGAGACTCAAGACTCAAAAGTAAAAATAAAAAAAAGAATCACCATCATGATGACAAAGGAATTATAGGGCAGGGGGTGAGATCCATGTGTCCTCTGAGGCCAAGACCATGCTGGGAGTCCAGGGGCTCCCTGTTGCTCAGGAATGACATCAAACCTGGGTGATTCATCACCTTAATCTTTCTGGTGCCACAGTGGATCACAAGCTCTTTGTGCGATTGGGTCAGAGCCAGCAACATAAGCCCTGCACCTATAGACCCAGAAGGGGCAGGAAGAACAGTGAGCAAAGGGGACAGAGCATTGGACTGGTTTGAATCCTTGGGTGTCCCTCTGACTCAATAAAACCTCAGTTTCCTTATCTGTAAATTGGGAGGATAATCTGCGCCTGAATCTGGCACTGAGGGAACATCATCAGGGTTTGGGTCTAGGGTCACATGCTTCTAAATAGTCATGAGAAGCCCCTGATGTTTGCTTATGCAATCATTCATTCATTCATTTTTAAATCTCATGGAAAGCACTATGCAAATGTTTGAATGAATGAATGAGTCAATCAATGAGTTAGTGAACCACAAACTGAGCCGAAGACGTTGCTAGCCGAGCCCCTGCCTCCAGACAAAATGAGCAGGACACATTTGGAAAGCAGCAAGTCGTCAGTGTGTTCAGTCCGTGAAGTATTTATTGAGCACCTACTATGTATCAGATGCTGTGCTAGATGCTGGAGATGCAACAGGGAGCAGGACCGGCCAGGCCTTCACCCTCAGGGAACTCGTAGTCTGATGGGGGAGACAGGCCACTGACAAGAAAACAACCCAACAAGCAAGGCCTTCTTAGGTGGGGTGAACGTGATCAAGGAAATTAGCAGGGGACGAAAGCAGAGGTCACTTTGGGTGGACTGGCCTGAGATGCCTCCCAGAGGAGGAGCTGGGAGGAGAAAGCCAGACCGTCGAGAGCTGGCAAAAAGCCCTGACCCAAGAGTGTGATGTGACAAGAATAGAGATGGGTGGTGGCTCACATGTGTAATCCCAGCACTTTGGGAGGCCAAGGCGGGTGAATCACAAGGTCAGGAGTTCAAGACCAGCCTGACCAACATGGTGAAACCCTGTCTCTACAAAATATACAAAATTAGCCAGGCATGGTGGTATATACCTGTAATCCCAGCTACTCAGGAGGCTGAGGCAGGAGAATCGCTTGAACCCAGGAGGTGGAGGTTGCAGTGACCCGAGATGGCACCACTGTACTCCAGCCTGGGTGACAGAGTGAGACTCCATCTCAAAAAAAAAAAAAAGAACAGAGAAAGACTGGTCCTGAAGGAGCAGAGTGCAGGGAAGAGGAATCAGAAGAACAGGACGGGCCCGGATTGCACAGGGCCGTGGAGAGGCCAAGCCCTAGGGCGCTGAGAACCCTTGGAGGGCTTGGGAGAATGGGTCCCCAGTAGGTGGGCTAGAAGTCCTTGACTCAAGAAGAGATTCCTGGGCGCCTGGAGAAGTGAGGGAATGTGGCACTCCTGATGAGTGTGGGGTAGAGGGAGTATTCCAAGCAGGCCTTGAGTCTCTCAGATAGGAAAGGTCAAAGGGTGCCCAGACATGTCAAACTCATAGAAGCTTCCAGATAAGCACATGCCTCTCCAGAAGAAACCCACTATGTCTCTTCCTGTGTTCAGGTTTCCCAACCTCTTTCCCCCGCTGAAACCGGAGACGGTGGCCCGGAGGACAGTGGAAGCCGTGCAGCTCAACCAGGCCCTCCTCCTCCTCCCGTGGACGATGCATGCCCTCATTATCTTGAAAAGGTATGGGGCTGGGAGCGAATGCTCTGGGTCAGAGGAAAGTATGCATGTGATCAATTAGTCATGTCTGCTGCGGGCATGAGCATGAGGAGCGGCGGCACATCTGCTGTTGATGTGCTGTGCTTACCTGAGGCAGCAGTTCTCAAACCTGTTAGTTACAGGGCCCCTGTGAGTTTTAAAAAGTGTGGAGGAGGCCGGGCGCCATGGCTCAAGCCTGTAATCCCAGCACTTTGGGAGGTCGAGGCAGGTGGATCATGAGGTCAAGAGATCGAGACCATCCTGGCCAACATGGTGAAACCCTGTCTCTAATAAAAATACCAAAAAATTAGCTGGGCATGGTGGCGCACACCTGTAGTCCCGGCTACTCGGGAGGCTGAGGCAGGAGAATTGATTGAACCCAGGAGGCGGAGGTTGCAGTGAGCCAAGGTCGCGCCACTGCACTCCAGCCTGGCGCCTGGTAATGGAGTGAGACTCTGTCTCAAAAAAAAAAAAAAAGTATGGAGGAACCCAAAGAGCTTTTGTCAATGTGAGTTGTATCTTCACTATTTACTGTATTAGAAATTGTGGGTATCTGCAATTATTGTAACCTGTATTAGAAGTTGCCAGCCATGGTGGCTCATGCCTGTAATCCCGGCACTTTGGGAGGCCAAGGGGGGCAGATCACGGAGTCAGCAGGGAGACCATCCTGGCTAACATGGTGAAACCCTGTCTCCACTAACAAAAATTAGCCGGGCATGGTGGCACACACCTGTAATCCCAGCTACTTGGGAGGCTGAGAAAGGAGAATGGCTTGAACCCAGGAGGCGGAAGTTGCAGTGAGCCGAGATCTTGCCATTGCACTCCAGCCTGGGCGACAAGGGCAAAACAACATCTCAAAATTAGAAAAAGAAAAAAAGAAATGAAAAGCCAGAAAAATGTTATAAGATGTATACATGTATTTATAATATTTATTCATTTATAAATAGCCATGACAAACCCATCACATTAATATAAATATATTTTTATCAAAAGAAATATAGTCAGGAGTGGCATTGTTTTACATTTTTCCAAATCTCTTTGCTTGGTCTAATTGAGGACAACTGGATTCTTACATGTACTTCTGATTTCAATTCGTTGTGATATCTTGTGTCACGTAGCCTCCAGAAAATTCTGCCATTCACTGAGAATGAAAGTGAAAAAGGCAAACAACATCTTAGGATTATTATAAAGACAATTTGACCTCAGAGACCCCTGAAGAGATCCCGGGTACCCCCAAGGGTTCCTGGACCTCACTTTGAGAACCACTGTTCTAGAGCCTATTGGACATAGCCCCTGCCCTCAGGGAGTTTACTGTTACAGGAAACACGAGATCTCGATGCCAAGGGCTCAGAATTCACAGAAGCGTCATAGTGCCAGTCAGGTGGGACGCAGCAGGGCACAGCACACTGGGGAGGTAGGCTTCGTAAAGGAGCAACTCCTCCTCCAGAATTTGCCTGGCATCCTATTCCCCTAGAACTTTCCAGACTTTGTGCAGCAAACCCTTTCCATCTCAGTCCCACACTCAGTTTTCTCAGGAGTACAGCAGGAGAGCCTCGTCCCTGGAGCCACAAGTGACCATGGGTTCTTGGCTCCCCTGGGGCTCTGGCTCCCAACCCCCACCTGACTGAGCCCCTCTGACCTGGAAGGACTTTTCAGGAAGGGAAGCCCCCAAGTGCCAGGCTGGCTCCTGCTTTCGTGCGACACGCACTCCCAGGAAAGCCAGCTTCTGCCCTGGCTGCCGGGACATGGTAAGCCCCAGCTGAGGGGCTGCCCCAACACACGCAGGGCACAGACACCTCGAAACCGAGGAGAAAGGCCAATCGCCATCCTCCCCAAACTCAAAGCCCTTTCAGCAGCACAGGGACGGGGGCGCCCAGCGGCATCCAGGCCACTCTCTGGCCTCCCTCAGTCTATCCTGACCTCAGATCTGAGACACTCCTCGGCCATCTCTAGGAGCCCATAGGTGATCAGGGGCCCAGGTCATCACCAAGGCCAGGCTGCCACCCTCCACCTCAAGGGAGCTTCTTAGCAGCCTTCCAGAACTTTCTAGAGAAAAGTTGGTCTAGAACATCTCAGCACTCTCCACAGGAGCCCTCAGCCTTCATTTTCCAGCCTAAACTACTTTTCAACAGGAAGCAGGAGCCACCCCCTTCCCATTCTCCAAACTGCATCCCTCCTCACCACCCCCAGGAAGCCTTCCAGATTGCTCCAGCTAGAAGTGAACCTTTTTCATCTTATACTGAGTGGGCCTTCAGTTTGATTCACCAAACAGCATAGGGCCCTCTCTGTGCCGGCCCATGCAAGGGGCTAGGGATCAGAGATGAACTACCCGCCACGAAGGCCCCCACAGGCTTGACAAGTAAATAGGCGAGGACTACACCAGGGCTTGCTGGGGAAGTGCCAGGGCTCTGGGTTCCACGAGGAGAAGCCTGAGGGTGAGCCCAGGACATTTCCCTGGAGGATGTGACACCCAAATCGTACCTGATTCCTCAGATCCACACTGTAACCTTTGTGGAATCTGGCAGTTGGGATTGATGGATCTCTGAGCTGCCTGTGAGCACCAAGATGCTAAGAGCTTGGTTTGTATTTTAGTAGAGATGGGGTTTCACCATATTGGCCAGGCTGGTCTGGAACTCCTGACCTCATGATCCACCCATCTCAGCCTCCCAAAGTGCTGGGATTACAGGCATGAGCCACCGCGCCTGGCCAAGAGCTTGGTTTTTAGTTTTTTGTTTTTTTTTTTGGTTTTTTGTTTTTTTTTTGAGACAGAGTTTCGCTCTTGTTACCCAGGCTGGAGCGCAATGGCGCGATCTTGGCTCACCGCAACCTCCGCCTCCTGGGTTCAGGCAATTCTCCTGCCTCAGCCTCCCGAGTAGCTGGGATTACAGGCACGCGCCACCATGCCCAGCTAATTTTTTGTGGTTTTAGTAGAGACGGGGTTTCACCATGTTGACCAGGATGGTCTCGATCTCTTGACCTTGTGATCCACCCGCCTCAGCCTCCCAAAGTGCTGGGATTACAGCATGAGCCACCACGCCTGGCCAAGAGCTTGGTTTTGAAAGTGTGTGTTGTATGAAAGGACAGAAGGTCAGCACTCCCCCTGACAAGGACCACACACAGGTTAAGGCATTGCCACCTACTTAGTGGCATCTAACTATCCTTTTTTTAATGGGTACAAAAAATAGACTGAATAAGAACAAATCTTTGATACCACAACAGGTGACTATACTTAATATTAATCTAACTGTACATTTAAAAATAACTAAAATGGCCAGGCACGGTGGCTATACCTATAATCCTAGCACTTTGGGAGGCCGGGGCAGGCAGATCACCCGAGGTCAGGAGTTCAAGGCCAGCCTGGCCAACATGGTGAAATCCCGTCTCTACTAAAAATATAAAAATTAGCCAGGCATGGTGACAGGTGCCTGTAATCCCAGCTACTTGGGAAGCTGAGGCAGGAGAATCACTTGAACCCAGGAGGCAGAGGCTGCAGTGAGCCAAGATCACACCATTGCATTTCAGCCTGGGTGACCTGTCTCAAAAAAAAAAATAAGAAAAATATAAATAACTAAAAGAGTATAATTGGATTGTTTGTAACATGACAGATAAATGCTTGAGGTGATGGATACTCCATTTACCCCGATGTGATTATTATACATTTGCATGCCTGTATCAAAGTATTTCATGTACCCCATGAATCTAGATACCTACTATGTACCCACAAAAAAATTTTTTTTAAAAAAAGAGCTCTGTTTCAGGATCTGGGAAAAAAAATTAAAAATTTAAATTAAAAAAAAAAAATTTGCTCTGACCACCCACCCTCTGCCTTTTTAAAAAATATATTTTAAAAAGAATTTTTTTTTTCCGAGACAGAGTTTCACTCTTGTCACCCAGGCTGGAATGCAATAGCGTGATCTCGGCTCCCTGCATCCTCCACCTCCCAAGTCAAGCAATTCTGCCTCAGTCTCCCGAGTAGCTGGGATTATAGGTGCCCACCACCATACCCGGCTAATTTTTGTACTTAGTAGATTGAGTTTCGCCATGTTGGCTAGGCTGGTCTCGAACTCCTGAGGTGATCCACTCACCTTGGCCTCCCAAAGTGCTGGGATTACAGGCATGAGCCACCACATCTGGCCTTTTTTATAAACAATTTTCGAGACAGGATCTGGCTCTGTCACCCAGGCTGAAATGCGGAGGTGTGATCTCAGCTCGCTGCAACCTCTACCTCTTGGGTTCAAGCCATCCTCGAACCTCAGCCTCCCCAGTAGCTAGGACTATAGGCACATGCCACCATGCCTGGCTAATTTTTATATTTTTTGTAGAGACGGGGTTTCACCATGTTGCCCAGGCTGGTGTTGAATTCCTGGGCTCAAGTGATCTGCCCACCTCAGCCTCCCAAAGAGCTTGGATTATAGACATGAGCCACTGCGCCCAGTCTCCCCTGCCTTTTTAACAGCTGCTTATCCACTTATGTGAAAGCTCTTCCCTGGAGAGGGTGGGAGTTTGGGGAGAAACTGGTGTGTGGCTTGGAGGGATGGGGAGCACTTCTCAGAAACAGCCCTGTGCTGCCCTGTCTCACATGGCCGCCAGCGACCCAGCCCCTGGATCCCGCTGTGCTGACATCTTCTTTTCTTCCTCCCACTCCCCCAGCATACTCCCGCAGGCTGCACTCGAGGAGATCCACAAATTCTCAGGAACCTACACCTGCATGAACACTTTCAAAGGGCGGACATAGAGGCAGGATGAAGACATGCTCAAGGAGCCACGGCGTTTGGGGGCCACGGCACCTGGGCACATACCCAAGCGCCTGTCCATTGGCACACTTCTGCTGGGTGAGCAGGACAGCTCCTGTCCCCAACAAAGAAGCCAACTGCCCCCGGGCCAGTCCCAGGACCTTTGCACAGGACTGATGGGTGTAACTGACCCCCACGGGGAGGCAGGAAACCAGCCAGCAGCCACCTCGACACTTTTGTACATTTCCAGTTCTGTAGAGTTTATTGTTCAATTGCTTCTCAAGTCTAACCAGCCTCAGCAGTGTGCATAGACCATTTCCAGGAGGGTCTGTCCCCAGATGCTCTGCCTCCCGTTCCAAAACCCACTCATCCTCGGCTTGTGCAAACTGGTTGAACGGCAGGAATGAAAAATAAAGAGAGATGGCTTTTGGGAGTTTCTTTGTTCAAATCTTTGGTGATCAGTTGGGAGGGAGCTAGTCCCAACCACAAAACCCCATCCTTTGAGAGAGAATTGGTCTGTTCGGGGTCCCCAGCTGCCAAGGGCGGAGAGAAGGGGCAGAAATCAGGAGAGAAAGTGGAGCCCAGGCCTAGGGGCAGAGGGAGGTACAGGCTTCCGTGCCGGCTCTGCCAGGCTCCTCCCAGTAGCCATGGGTTGAGGCCGCTTTGTCTCCCTGGTGTGACCTTTATGAACCAGTCTGCAGAGAACAAGCCACAGCTAGAGATGCCCTCCATCCTGCCATGCCACCACCAGCCCCCAGGCCAGCAACTCAGGAGAGCAGAACCAGTCTTTACGGAGCACCCACTGTCCACCTAGGGTGTGCTTGGTACAGAGAGGGGAACGTTGCTGAGAAGAGCACAAGAGGCCGGTAATTTGCTTGGGAAAGGATCACACATCACCAGAAACACAGCGAGAACTCGCCATAAGGCCAGTGCTGAAGAGTGCTACAGACCCAGGCCCATTTGATCACAAGGACAGACAGGGAGAGGTCTGGAGTGGCAGAAGAGATTGGCTCAAGCTCCATCCATGGGGCAAAGTCATGACCAAGAAGACCTGGCAGCAATGCCCTCTGCTTCCCCTGGTGCGTGTGCTCCCTGCTGCCACAAGCTTAGTAAACCTCATCTTGGGCAGTGGGGAAGAGAGTGGGCTGCGTCATTTCATCTTAAGTGGCCTCCATTCATACAGCTCTTGCAGGCGGGGGGCAGGGTGGCGGGAGGGGAGCAGTCAAGGTTCCCGGGAGATGAAGGAGGTCATGGCCCTCTGACCCAACCCAGGAGCTGCCCCAAGAGTCACATAGTCTTAACCTACATGCAAACCTCAGGCTGAACCCTTCCAGCTTAGAGGATATTAGATACAGCTCGGGTGATCAGTCTGGTCTACGTGCAGAAATGCCAAGTCATGATTATATCCATGCCTTTTTTTTTTTTTTTTTTCTGACATGGGCTCTCGCTCTGTTGCCCAGGCTGGAGTGTGTAGCAGAGTGGCACAATCACAGCTCACTGCAGCCTCAACCTCCCAACCTCAAACAATCTTCCCACCTCAGCCTCCAGAGTAGCTGGGACTACAGGCGCATAACACCATGCCCAACTGTTTATTATTATTATTATTTGTAGGGACAGGGGTCATGCTATGTTGTCCAGGCTGGTCTTGAACACCTAGGCTCAAGCAGTCCTCCTCCCTCAGCCTCTCAAAGTGCTGGGATTACTGGTGTGAGCTACCACGCCCGGCCTGTAGCCACTCTTGACTGAGTACCTAGAATGGAGGCCAGTCCCCAGCCAGAACATTTCAAGTCTTCATTATCCATGCCACTTGGCAGCAGCTGAAGAGCAAAACACACACACACACACACACACACACACACACACACAACTTTGAGACTGCTCTGGAGACTTCCAACATCTTTGATGTGGAGCAGCCAGGATGTAATGCCCAAATCTCAGTGGCATCCAACAGTGAAGGTTTCTGCCTTACTGTTGCTACTCGTCCTTCAAGAATGACTACAAGTCTGCTCCATGTCATCTTCACTCTGAAACTCAAGCTGCCCAGGGGCCTCTGTCTGGGAGGATGCCTTGTGGCAGAGGGTAGACATACCTGTTGAACTGTGCACTGGCTCTTGAAGTTTCTGCCTGGAAACAACACTGTCACTTCTGCTCAAAGGTTGCAGCTCACTGCAACCTCCGCCTCTTGGGCTGGAGCGAGCCTGCTATTGACATAGCAGGAAATGCAATCACGCGTGGAGGAGTAGTCGCTAGTTCTGAAGCAGGCTGCCACACCAGGGAAGAAGACATCATGAGCAAAATCAGAATATAGGTTGAGGACATAGGGAAGCCATGCATGGCTTCCAGCTGCATGCTCAAGGACATAGTGACTTTTGGGAGGGTACAGAAGGTGTCAAGCAGAGCCCTAAAGAGGCAAGTGTCAGCCGGGCATGGTGGCTCATGCCTGTAATCCCAGCACTTTGGGAGGCTGAGGTGGGTGGATCACCTGAGGTCAGGAGTTCATGAAAGCCCATCTCTACAAAAAAAAAAAATATGTATATATATATATATATATATATATATATA